GCCTTGTGGGCCTTGTCAAGTATATCAAACTCCTCTTTGAGTCTAGCAAGATCAACCCTGAGTTTGGCCTTCTCGGAATTTAGCACACGAGAAACAATGAGGGCATGATCATAATCTTTCTTTAACTTAGCATGATCAACGTTGTGTGACTCCCCAAGAGCCAAACGAAGACCACGCTCTTCCTCAAGAGCATTGGAAAGATCTGAAATCTCATTGGCATAGTCATGCCTATGCGCTTCCATCTTAGAGATGGTGTCTTCATGAGCCTCGATCATGTCATTGGCCTCACCAAGTTGTTCCAAGAGAGCAACAAAGTGCTTCTTGGATTTTCCCTTGAGTTTGCCCATAAAGGCCTCAAACTCGTTAGCCTCCACATTAGCTCCCTCAAGTTCATTAATGCTATCCGTTGGGGAAGGATGATTAATGATGGTAGTTTTGATGTTGGAGGTTACCTTGTTGGTGGCTTTAGCCATGAGGCACTTAGCGGTGATGCTCTCGTTGGGTGAGTCAAAGAGAGACACCTGTGACGTTGTTGCAATGGCAACGGAGGCCATGGCAACCGACTCATCATCTTCATCATCGTCATCATCCTCATTGTACTCTTCTTGCACAACCAAAGCCTTGGGAGGAGTCTTCTTGGTGAAGTTGTTCTTGTTGGGGAATGACTTGGCCTTGTCCTTTCGGATGAGTTTGCCACCATTGTCTTCCCTCTTCTCATACGGGCATTCCGCAACGAAATGACTCACGTTGCCGCAATTGTAGCAAGTCCTTACACGTTGCTTGCCCCTTGTGCCACTCGAGTTGTTTTTGCTAAAGTTGGGCCTCGAGTTTTTCTTGCTCCAAAATTGCCTTGAAGCAAGTGCCATGTGTTCATGATATGCATACTTCGTATCTTCGGGGTTGCTCTCCTCTTCTTCCTCTTCTTCTTCTTCCACAATGAGCTTGGCCTTCAATGCAAGGTTAGGCTTCTTTGCCCGTTGAGAACGGAGCACCGCATTGTCGGCGGTCTTGTCCAAAATGTTCATGGCCACAAACTCATCCAACACTTCACTTGAGGTCAAAGTGTGGAAATCCGGTCTTTGACGAATGACGGAGGACATGGCCTTGTGGTAGGGCATCATTGTCTTGAGGAATTTGCGCTTGATCCAATTGTCATCCGTGTCCTTGCTCCCGTGATCTCGTAGTGAGACCGCGAGTTTGGTTACTCTCCGACAAAGCTCACGAGGTTCTTCATCTTCCTTCATTGCAAACTCATCGGCCTCATCTTGTACCACTTCATAGTTGGAGCATTGAATGCTTGCGCTTCCCTGGTAGAGAGACATGACACAATACCATGCATCTTTGTCCAAGGTGAAGGGACGAAGATGAGGTAGGTCTTTGGGTGGAATTGCATCTTGAATGATGAAGAGAGCATTCTCATTGAATTGATTGTCCGTGGCTTCTCGAGGAGTGAAGTTGCTTGGATCAAGTAGATAGAAACCTTCTTCAATGATTCTCCAAAGGTTAGTGTTCACATGATTTAAATGACGTTTAAAGCGGTAAACCCAAGAATCAAAATCCTCATTTTTCACAATCTTAGGGGGAGGACCGACATGATTCAAATGAGTGGAAGGAACCGGTCCACCATAAACAAGTGGTGGTTCCACATGGGCAAAGATGCCGGTGCCATTCTTGCCACTAGAAGAAGGAGCCTTTTCACTACTAGCTTCCCCCTTGTCGGGGATAGCATCCGACACCTTGTTGGCGGGATCACCCACTTTCAACGGTGCGGTGGATAGTTTAAGCCCCTCAAGAAATTTAGTAAATATGCTTTCAACTTCGGTCGTCATGGAGGTTTTCAATGTCTCCAAGGCCACATTGAACTCCTCACGAGAGACCGAAGTTCCCCCATCTCCCGTAGACGAGATCGAATTCACACCGGAGTGTTCCTCCACACCGTCTACGGTATCAACCATACTCTTTGAACGGTAAAGTCCTTAATAAAAAGACGAGGCTCTGATACCAATTGAAAGGATCGATATGGTTGACTAGAGGGGGGGTGAATAGGCAACTACCAATTTTTAGCTTTTCTTTACCAAATTAAACTTTGCATCAAATTAGGTTGTCTAGATGTGCAACTAGGTTAGCAACCTATATGATGCAATAACAACAAGCATACAAGCAAGCAAGGGTAGAAACACTAAAGAGCTTGCACAAGTAAAGGTAAGAGATAACCAATAGTGGATTCGGTGAAGACGAGGATGTGTTACCGAAGTTCCTTCCTTTTGAGGGGAAGTACGTCTCCGTTGGAGCGGTGTGGAGGCACAATACTCCCTAAGAAGCCACTAGGGCCACCGTATTCTCCTCACGCCCTCACACAATGCGAGATGCCGTGATTCCACTATTGGTGCCCTTGAAGGCGGCGACCGAACCTTTACAAACAAGGTTGGGGCAATCTCCACAACTTAATCAGAGGATCCCAACAAGACCACGAAGCTTCACCATAATGGAATATGGCTCCGAGGTGACCTCAACCGTCTAGGGTGCTCAAACACCCAAGAGTAACAAGATCCGCTAGGGATGAGTGGGGAAATGAAAATCCCTTGGTGGAAGTGTAGATCGGAGCCTTCTCAACCACTCCCGAGCAAATCAACAAATTTGATTGGCTAGAGAGATAGATCGGGCGAAAATGAAGCTTGGAGTATTTAATGGAGCTTGAGCAATAAATGGAGCTTGGGAAAGTAAGAGGTAGGTCAGAAGGAAGAAGGGGACTCCCTTTTATAGTGGGGGCAACAATCCCGTTGCCCCCACCAACCAGCCCCACACAGGGCGGTACTACCGCTGAGAAGGGGCGGTACTACCGCCAGGACAACGGTACTGCCGCGCCAGCCAGCGGTACTGCCGCGCTGAGGAGACTAGTAGGGAACGAACCCAAATGCGGTACTACCGCGGTGGTAGGGAGGTACTACCGCTCCTGGAACGGTACTACCGCCACTACAACCGTGACTAGTGCCGCAAAACCCGACACGAGAAAAAGACCTCTCGAATCTCGGCGGAAGGAACCAGACTGCCCAGCGGTACTACGGCAGTGGGGTCAAGGGCGGTAGTACCGCTGTGGAGCGGTACTGCCGCTTGTGACCCTTCGGCCGTAGTACCGCAGGCAGTGCGGTACTATCGCTGGGGCACGCGCGCGAGAGAGAAGAAATCTCTCAAAGAAGCTGAGGACAAGGCGGAGGTGCCAGGCCCCCAGCGGTACTACTGCTGTGGAGCCACGGGCGGTACTACCGCTGCGGAGCGGTACTGCCGCTTGTGGCTTCTCAGCGGTACTATCGTTGGGTGCGCGGTACTACCGCTTTGACCCAGACAGGACAAGGAAGAGAGAGGAGAGATCTCTTCAATGGAAAGGAAATGCTCGGAGGGTGAGAAGCTGATGTGTACGTGATGATTCCACCCATGCAAAACCCCAGCGGACCCCCTCTTGATAGTACGATGCCCTCTACGCAACTAGTCCACCAAGAAAGAAACGAAAGAGCTACACCGTCTTGAAATACACTCCGAGGGGAAGAAGGCGTCTCGTGCCAGGGGAGAATCTGTGAATTATTCAAAGCACAAGATTAGTCCGCAAACATGTTGTCATCAATCACCAAAACTATCTTGAGAGAGATATGTCGTAACACCCCTTAATCTAGGACTCCCTCAGCATGCCGTATATCACACACACCTTTGATCTGGCTGACAGTTTCTTTTGTGTTGCCTAATCACAAACAGTTCATTCGAGTGAACCGTATATGTACATCACACACACCTTCATCTGGCTGCCCGTTTCTTTTGTTCCTCCTCATCGCAAACGGTTAATTGAACTGAACCGTATGCCCTCAATCACACACGCAACTAAAATCTGAACCGTGTTTGATGCATCCTCCATCGCAAACGTTTTACATCTTTTTTGACGGTTTTTTACACCACCGTTTGCGATTATGGCATCGCACACAGTTTCGTTGAAGGGTCTCTGATCGTAGTGTCGCGTTAGCAGCATCCTGCAGTAGTGATTCTATTTGGTCTGCTGGATACTAGTCTAACTACTGGCACTATACAAAATACTATGATCATGCTCTCAAATGGATAGTAGGCCAGTAGGTGCAGAAAGCACTACCTTGAACTTATCCAATGTTTTTTTAATATCTTATTATGTTGTTCCTCAGTATTTTCAGGTATATTAGTAAAACAGACTGCCGTAACTGTAAGAGCACATTCACATCCTTATACGAGATCTCATTTCTACATCTTTCATCTTCTTCTTCGTCGCCGCCTTCACGTGTTGGGATTTGCACTCTGTAGATCAGGCTTTGTAGGAGGCCACCATCCTCGGGTCCTCTGGCTTTGGCGGGAGGACAAACATCTTTATTTGCTCCTCCCACGTTGGCTCCATCGGGGCGGCAGGTGACATAACAATGGGGAAGGGGCGAGCTTTCACGTGAAACAATGACGAAAATGACCAAATGTGCGGGCTCTGCCTTGATTTTGGATGAGCCTGTGTCGGGCACGTACGTGGCGAATCTCTAAACTCCTCTAAATTGCCCGCCAGTTTGGTTTCGGTTTATGGGATTTTGCACGTCTAGAATGATCCGAACATCTTAGGTAAACACCATTTAGACGGCCGAAAATGTTGGGACTGTCCGGTCTGAACATTTAGTGGCGATATGAATTTTTTGAGGGTTTAGTGGCGATTTGATGATCCGACGACTGCGGCCGGTGTTCACGTCGACCGCGGCCGTGTCAGACGCTACTCACGCCACGCCACACCAGGCCAGAGCCACAGGTAAAACAAGCGGAGCGAAGCGAGCCACCTCCAACCCCACAGCCACTGGAACCGAAAGGAGACGCACGCCCCACGCCGACTCCGCCGTTCGCTCACTCCCCGCCCCGCCGTTCCCGTTGCCACCCTTCGCCGACGCGGGCAAGAGAAGAAGCCGAAAGAGAGAAAGCGTCCCCCACCTCGCCCGGATCCCGCGAGCGGGCCCATGTCCCACTCGACACTGCTCGTCCGGCCGCCGGCGCCGGCGAATCCGTCCCTTCCGCTTCGCCGGTGCGCGCCCGTATCCGCAGCGGCGGCGACGCTCCGCACGTTTCCTGCCGCCTCCTCCGTGGCTCAGTGCTCTAGGTTTCTCTCACCCGTCTCCCTCCCCTTCTCACCTGGTTTCTGCTCTCGTCGACCGAGTGATTACTGCAAAATTGTGCGTGTAATGGATGCGTATTTCCGTCTTAGTTTGCATTGACCCGGTTTTCCCTTGATCACGCAGGCTGCGCACCAAGTGCAGGTTTGCTGCCCCCGGTGTCAGAGAAGATTACTCTTCTACGCCAATCGATGTGGTAGCAGACGTCAAAACAGAGAAGGCATGAAATTGAGTACCTTATGTCTGTTATCATTCGGAAGTGCTGTCAGGCATGACTCTGTTTCTCCAGTAAGATTGGTTTCCTGAAATAGTTCCAAATGCTTGCAGATTGTAGTGTTGGGAGGAAGTGGATTTGTTGGTTCTGCTATATGCAGAGCTGCGGTAGCCAAAGGCATTGAGGTTGTGAGCCTCAGCAGGTACATCTTTCCCCTTATCTGTTCTTTTTATTCTAGGAACACAGTACATATGCAGACAGTTCACAAACACGCACTTACATGCACGCACACCCTACCCATATGAGCATCTCTGGGAGACTAACGAAGTCATCACAGGGTCTCCCACTGAACGAACATCGTTAGAAGGACTGGAATAAATAAATTCAGGAAAGTGTGAGCACCCGAGCCAAGTCTAGGACTTGAACCCGGGTGGGCTGGTTCCACCACAAGGAATCTAACCATCTGAGCTATGCTCAATTCTCATCTTTTCTCTTATCGATTGTACAAACTTTATGTATGTACTAGCAATGTGCCAGTGTGTTGCAACGGATCCAAAGTAGAATAATACATGTTCACAAACTTGAAAGAAAAACACTAGTAAGGAATGAGGTGAGGGAGGGATGTGGTTGGTTTCAAGATAGTAAGGGGTTTTCTGCAAATTGGAGCAGAGAAGTGGGGCCTTGTTGCAAAAATGCCACAGCTTACCTCACAATTGTTAGATGCAGGTCTGATGGTTAGAAAGGGGACACCCTACCATATGAGCATCTCTGGGAGACTAAGGAAGTCATCACAGGGTCTCGCACTGAACGAACATCGTCAGAAGGACTGGAATAAATAAATTCAGGAAAGTGTGAGCACCCGAGCCAAGTCTAGGACTTGAACCCGGGTGGGCTGGTTCCACCACAAGGAATCTAACCATCTGAGCTATGCTCAATTCTCATCTTTTCTCTTATCGTTTGTACAAACTTTATGTATGTACTAGCAATGTGCCCGTGCGTTGCAACGGATCCAAAGTAGAATAATACATGTTCACAAACTTGAAAGAAAAACACTCTAGTAAGGAATGAGGTGAGGGAGGGATGTGGTTGGTTTCAAGATAGTAAGGGGTTTTCTGCAAATTGGAGCAGAGAAGTGGGGCCTTGTTGCAAAAAATGCCACAACTTACCTCACAATCGTTAGATGCAGATCTGATGGTTAGAAATGACGGATGGCAGACACACCATCATCACCAATTGAGTCTTTTATAAGAGTAGAGATACCACTTCCTGCAAAATCCCTTGAGTGAGTTGTCCATGTAGTGCACGTTATCAATCCAGCAAGTTTCTTTTCCAGAGACCAAATTCAAGACACACATCCCATCTGAAGCCTCCCTGCCCAGCACCTTGATCCTTCTAACTTTGTGTCAGGTAGATTTTTTTTTTGAGTGAAGTACGACGGGTATCTTAATCAAATGATAGAATCAGGATACAACGGGGTGCAATGGCAGTCCAAGCACACACCGCCACTACAATAGGGGTAACAAAAGAAAACAAATAACAAGCCCAAGACTCTCCGAGCCAATCACTTAATGAGTAGCACCAACAGTACTGTCAAAGGCATCACTCTACTGAGACAGCACAGCGAACGTCAACGCGCCGAGAACACACGAACGTCGTTGGCCTTACCGCACTAAAAGGAACCGCCACTAAAGGACTGGAAGAACGTGCCGTTGGCAACCCATATCGGTCGAAAGACGTCAACAATCCACACTGGACGCAAGCTAACCTTTGCAGGATTTGACACCTGAAGCAATAAGAAGCAAGGAGCAGCAACCACCTCCCCTTGCCACCACAAACTGCTGTTGAGGATCTCAAACTGGCCATTCATGCTCCGGTGAGACGTGTGAGTCATGAACCAACCAACGAGGGATCCGTGGCTCCAAGACGACGCCTCAAGGAATGGAACAATGTCGAAAGACGCTACCGTCGTCCGATCCAGAGAAACCGGATCTGAGGCTTTTATCCTGACAGTACTTAGGGTGGATAAGGTGTGGAGGCTTCACGATGACGCCTCCAAGAGAAATGACGCCCTAAGGCGTCGACGTCATTTGTGCGAGCAAAAGCCGGCACAGGGCTTTTGCCGTAGCATCACAACTCAGCATCCCCACTGAACCACGCCGTCCACGGACACTGACAAGTGCCAATCATCACTGGAAGCTCTTGAACTTGCCAGCCTCCAGCCTCCCTTGGTGTCTGTGTGCACACCAAGCCCATCTCAAGGCCACCAGATGCCTCCACTGTGCTAGATTGGGAGCTGCCTTTCAGATCCATGCCGTTAGACTATGATGACCACCGACCAGAGGCCGCCGGTGAAGGAGCCGACTCCTGCCGCCAAAGCCATCCTCCTCCAAGTCACCTGCCCCTCATCGCCTCTGGACAGATTTGAGGACCGAACACCGCCACCAACTAGCCATCCGAAAATGCTGCAAACACCACCGCACAACTAGAGAGAACTCCCATCACCTTCGACTGCAGGCCCGCCACCGGCGCAGCAGAAGGTGCTGGCAGCGCCGGCGATGAGGGGCAGGTGGAGAGGCCTGAACGCGGCGGCAGCGAGAGCCTCCCACGATATGGGAGTCGGTGGAGCCTCTTCGTGTCAGGTAGATAATCAAGGGAATACATATGTAAAATTACTGATGGGATGATATGCGAGTTGCGGGAGCCTTTTTTGTGTTAGGCAGATAATTAAGGAAGCATATATGGGCTGATTGCAGTGATTGAAGCATAAGGGCATTGAAGCTTTTTAAGATAGTTGGGATCTACTCCCTCCGTTTCTAAATATTTGTCTTTTTAGAGATTTCAAATGGACGGCACATACGGATGTATATAGACATATTTTAGAGTGTAGATTCAATCATTTTGCTCCGTATGTAGTCACTCGTTGAAATCTCTAGAAAGACAAATATTTAGGAACGGAGGGAGTATCATCTATGGTGAAAATAATTATTATTCAGGCATTATTTCTGAAAGCCTAATCTGCATCCTGTCACCGTTTAGACATTCTATGCTAATGACAGGTCAGGAAGACCATCTTACTCTGATCCTTGGGCTGATGAAGTTACTTGGCTAGCAGGTAGGTTGAGTTGTGACATTAAGCTGTTACCTTCATGGTAAATAGATTTGGTTTGATCATGTTATCTATTTTGTTGGGTGAATGGATAGCAGGTTATCTGAGTTGTAACATAGGCTGTTACCTTCGTTGTAAATAGATTTAGCTTGATCATATAATCTATTTTTCTTGTGTGAACTGCTCCCTATATTAGTTATGTTCTCTAACCCCGAACGTCATAGAGTTAACTCTTTATTTAAACCGGAGCTATGGTTTGCTGCTAGGATGGTTTTACCCGCATATTATTTTTCATGAAATACACACCTGAGAATTCAAATTACGTCCAATAGATTTAATAAGATTTTGTTCTGGACTAATAGTGGTACAGTAAGTACACTTTATAGATTATCGTTGGTGCTAAACAAGCAAACATTACATGTATGCATTCTGTCGTGCTCCACTTTGGTAAGTTAGTATTACTAGATGATGGATCCTTTTAAACTAATTTCCTGTCATTTTGTTTTTGAGTTCTTATATATGCATATACTATTTAATATTTATTGCAAAATAGTTCTAAAAACATATGTACTTAAGACCACTTTTTATTTTGTCCTTACTCACCTGGCTAATTGCGAATGTGTTTTCTTGAGAAGTACTGTATTGCTTTAACATTACGCCTTGTATGAACCTTGGTGTTTCCCCTTTACCACTTTTTCCCTGTAATGTAGCTACATGCTTGTACTGGATTTCCAAGAGTTTCTGGTATGGTTTTTTGGCCCTCTCATATTCAGTTAAGTATCTTACTGTTATGCAGGAGATGTTTTCTATGCAAGATGGGAGGACGTGCTAGTAGGGGCTACTGCTGTTGTGTCTACCCTTGGAGGATTTGGTAATGAAGAACAGATGAAAAGGATAAATGGTGAAGCAAATACCATAGCAGTAGACGCCGCGAAAGAATTTGGTGAGTACTTTGTGATGATTAATGACAGCGATAAGATTATCTGTATGCATTTTCGGAAATTTTGTTGGTGTGGCAGTAGTTAATGTGTTTCCATGACTGAACTAAATTTCAAATTGAAAGATAATAGTTTGATACAATGGGGGTTTATGCATTTGGCACCAATAGGATCTTGACTTATGACATCATGCCAAATGGTCCCTTATAAGTCCACAATTGACAACTCTATGGAATAGTTTAGTTGCAGAATCAATTACTCTGTGACCACTTGAATTATAGGAATATATAAGAAAACCTGTACCAGACCTGTTTGTTCATTTTAATACCATAACTCCTACATGTACTTTTAAACACTGAACTCTGTAATAGTTTTTAATTAGTGAAAACTAAAAAGTGCTCTTTTAATCATTACAACTTAAACTATAGGGAAAAGAAAACTTTATCATTAAGGGTGCATTTTGCTGGAATATCAAATTTTAAGTTATATTGTGTTAGGGAGCTTGCTATCCTGGTTAAACCTTTGCAACTAAAGATTGAAAACTTCAAACGGCTGAGACTTCTTGCTGTATAGTCGAAAACTTCGCAATTAAGTTATATTGTGTTGCCTAGCAGTTAGCTTACTCTTCCTTTTATTGTCTGAAAAATATCAAAGAACATAACATAAACAGTTTGCTATGTTCTTCTGCAGGGATCCCGAAATTTATTTTGATCTCTGTTCATGATTACAACCTTCCATCCTTTCTCCTTACCTCGGGCTATTTCACTGGTAAGAGAAAGGCTGAATCTGAAGTCCTCTCCAAATACCCATCCTCAGGTTAGACCTCTGCTACTTTATCTTGTTCATATGTGTTTATCAGAGTATATCCAATCTAACATTTATCTTTCAGGTGTTGTATTGAGGCCTGGGTTTATTTACGGTAAAAGGAAAGTAGATGGCTACGAGATACCGCTCGACATCGTAGGGCAACCACTAGAGAAGCTACTTTCCTCTGTCGAAAATTTCACCAAACCATTGAGTGCATTGCCTGGTTCGGACCTGGTCCTCGCACCCCCTGTGAACGTGGACGATGTCGCCTACGCCGTGATCAACGCCGTCATAGACGACAGCTTCTTCGGAGTGTTCACAATCGAGCAAATCAAGGAGGCGGCAGCCAGTGCCAGAGTGTAGAGATCTCAATATCTGGAAGTACCTTACGAGGGATGCTCATGTTGTTGCAAATCTTCCATAATAGGGGATAGCTCAAGGCCAAACTCAGTACTGCAATGCTGTGCTTAGAGAGTTTAAATGCACTAACACAATCCATTCCAAAAGCTGTAGTTGTTCATAGCAGGCAACACTCTTTACTAGGGTTGATCTTGTAACGACCCATACATACATAGCTGAAATACGAGCACAAAAATGGGTTGCAACAAGCTTCACCATCAGAAGAACCCAGGTTTATTCTTTAACCTCACACATAACCTCGGTTGCCTAGTACGGCTTCAGGCAATCGAAGAGGTGACGGCGGTGATCCGATGAGACGGCTCCCTCCGACGAGCCTGATGCGGGAGACCCGACGGTGGACGAGGGTGAGACGCCGGTTGGTGTCAGGCACTGCCTCGGCGCTCCCGCTCCCGGGCTGTCCTCCCCGTGCGCCGGCAGCGGTCTGCATGCGCCTGGACTGCCCAGCTGCAGCACCTGCAACTGCGTCTTCTTCCTCTGCTCCCTCCTCACCATGTTGCGCTTGTTCACGTAGTCCTCGTGGATGAACACGTCCATGGACGCTCTCTACCTCTCTCCGATACTGGACTACTCCTACCTCCAAAGTCCTAACATGGCTGGATCACCAACAGGAGCACAAACGCAGAGGAAGGGGGCAATTATACTACGACTGGTCTCAAGCCAAGCACGTCGCTCTCGCCATTTTAACATTTTTTACGAGGCACAGCACGCAAGCTGCCATTGGTCTATGCCAAGTGTGAAGTCCACAACGCTACAAAAAGAAATGCTTGCCGAAAGACGATGGCAACAAAAAAAATGCCCTAGTAACTACACTCCGAAGCTGGGCGAGCAATAATCATGCAGGGCTTTCTCTCTTTCACTCTCGTGTATTGTGACGATACCAATTCTTGTCTCTTCTTGTGAAAGCAATAATCGGGGCTCGTCAGAATTGATGTGTCAAATGGCAAAAAAAAAAAAAGCTCTAGAATCCGTGGTGTGCATTGGCAGAGCAGCAGGGACAACGGTGCCTTCCAGGTTGGGGGGCTCTTGGGGCAATGCAGCGACAGGGAAGTTGATAGAAACCACAAAAAATACTGGAGATGTGGAAAGATGGTAGCTTGTGTGATGTGACCAGGATTCACCACCCCTTCCCTACCACATAACACCTTGTGGTCGCTAACCAAATGTATCCCGCAAACTCAGCAGGACCCAACACACCGGACTGGTCTTTTTCATAGACCCTCTCCCGGTTTCCATTTTATCTTCAGATCAGTAAAGCTTCACCACAGATAGTGCTAGGTCATGAGAGCTGAAAGGCATCACATCCCGCTCTAAAGTGCTCATGCAATCACAATGCCGAATAAGAGCGGTGAAATTTTTCGTTACCGCGTGCAGAATTAAGCGGAGCAAGTCTCGGTGCACCTTTTGATTTAACAAAAGATATCTGTTCGCACCCAAAATTTCCAAAGGATATACACACATTATTATGCTTATTATTGACTATCACACCAGAACCCTGAAAAAGATTCATGTCCTAACACCCACAAAATTTTATGCGGCTCACAGCCTCTTCTTGAGATCGGCAGTCTTTCATATCGAAGTTGATGCGCTCACCGTCCTTCGTGCGTTCCCAAGGATGATAACAATGACAGTCACGTCGTCATGGTACTTTCTCCTGCTCCCAACAGGTATCCTCATAAGCTGTTCAGCTGTTAAAGCTGACAAGGCATAGGAAGAAATTAGTGAAGAGTTGGTGTTAGTTTTACTTGCTTACAGCTATGGTTCCCCAAAAGGGTTGCCAAGATGGTACTCTAGTTACAAAAATCAAAACAATTAATCAACGTAAATGTACTCTCACACATACTGCCTCTTCATTCTCATCTGATGTTATTGTTATGATATATGCGTGCCTAAAGTCTAAACCATAAAAAAAAGGAGGGACTTATAATTTTTCTACAAGCCTATAAATAGCTATCTGACATCAATGACATACTTTTAAGTTAAAACATGTTTGGTTGTTACTTGGTATCACAGAGCTTTTACTCACTTGGCAGGAGTTAAGGGGGTACTTGCCTTCCTATTATAACATGAGAAAGGTGTTTCTACAATTGGGTTGTTCATTACCAATCACAAAGGGTCTTCTATAGACTCTTAATGCTAATTATTTGTGTATCAAAAAAATAAATTTGATATATTTAGGGGATACCTGCTTCTTTGGCAGCTTTATGTACAACTTGCTCGATGAGATATTTTGCAGGATCGCCAGTTGGATTATCATGCATAAATTGATAAACCAACTGAACAACTTCATCGTTACTGAAGAAATCAAATAAGCCATCACTGCCAAGCACAACAAACAGATCGTCTTCCATAACCTTGTGACTCAGTGTGTGTGGATTTGTATATACGTAAGGCGGGCTGCACAAATTACGAACTCGGAGAATTCCCATGAGTGCATCATTGAACTTTTTCTGCAAAATTGGGATTAAAGTATGGGCATTAGTTAAGTCATAAGAATGTCATGAATTTTCATCACATGCTAAAGTATAATATGGTACCTGTTTAAGGTAGCCAACTCCAAAAGCACGAGTAACCTTCAGCTTCCCTTTTACTTTGTTACCCATCACAACTTTAGAGTCATTAGGATGGTCAGCTAATAGTTTTTGGTATTCCAATGGATTTTCAAGTGAGTGGATCTCTGTCAATTGAGTAGCTTTCACTGTATCCATTTCTGAATATGGCATGGAAGCAAGCACAGCTCTACTATCCCCAAGATTTAGAATGCACAAATCTGTTCCCTGAAGAAGCACAACCAGGACACAAGATCCAACTGAAACTAAATCTGGTCTATCATCCATATCCTGTTCAACCATGCATAAGAAATCATTCTCAGCTTGCTCAACAGCAGAAGTGAGGCAATTCAGCACACCAGCTCGAAAACTTTCAGAAAGTTTTACATCTTCATTCTCTGCAATTTCCATGGCTAATGTTAACTCACTTTTAACACCATTAGGGGAGTCCCCTGATGAGCTACATAGGCCATCTTGTTGCTTGATACGGCACTCTAACAAGTATAGGTAATATACTATGTTATCATATAGAGTTACTGCCAGAAAATCAGCTGCATCTCGTCCATTAAATCCATCATAAATTCCACAAATCAACCATCCATTTTTCTCAGAGCACACAGCTTGGACTCTATCCTCTCCAGCAGCTCCACCAGCCATCTTTACCTCGGTACCAGTCAGAAAATTGGATGATACAGTTGTTGGAGCGCTGGACCTCCAAAGATTTTTACTGATTTCAAATATGGAGCTCTCAGTTGATGCAGGGCTGCCTTGTGAGGTGGATAGCAAGTCTAACCTTGACATAGATGGAGAAGAGACGATTTTTCTGAAAGAATTTGGAGAATCTAGTTCTGGCAAAATCTCTTCCCCAATAAGACCCTTGCATATATTTGTATTGGCCAATGTGAAATTTGCACTAATTGCGGCACCAGATAAACAAGTAAATGAGCCATTTCGTGACTTCGTCATGGCATTAGTTTCAAACCTCATCTGGGGAGAGGTGTCATGCTCATCATTTTCAAGAGGGAAACTCTGATAAGAATTGCAATGATATCCAAAGCTTACGCTGAGATTACTACAACTCCTGACAAGTGTGTCTTCGTCCTCAGAGCTGATGCTGTGATCAGTGTTGCCCTCATAAAACAGGTCATCCACCATCTTCTCTACGGAAGTGTTGCACCAATAAAGGTATAGTATTGCTGACAAACTTGGCTTTTGAGGTTCTGATGCTTACTCAAATGCCATGCTGAATATAGTTGCTTTTATACTTGAAAGGAAATGCAAACCAGACCTGCAATATTAAGCCAAACCATTAGCTAAATACAACGGAAAAGAATTGTAGTAGTTAGCATAAACATGATAAACAGCCGTAAAAATATATTTAAACGAAATTAAAACTTGTTTCGGCCATACTGAAAGATTTTATTTTATTTTAGTACATACCATCCTGCTATCCAACACCATACATATATTTTTATTATGATGAGGGAAGGGATGTAATTGATGATGGTAATATCTTGATTTTTGTAGTTGATAAGTACTTTGGTCTCCTATACCTCTATAGGTAATTTTTTCTGATCATACTTCCATCAAAATTTAATTAGGGAAAGAACATTATCCCTCAACATGCATGCTGTGAATCAACGAGAAAGCACCAGTTTGACATCTGCACCATGTATTACCTACTAGCCTTGTGCATTCTCATGAATATTTATCATGACTACAAACAAAACAACCACTATGTGAGTTGAGTTGTACGAGCTGTGCCTACTTACCAAAAGTATGGTGTGATTTAATATTGGCCTTTAATGTTTGGAGAGTGTTTCCTTTTTAAGCTACCACAGACGATAGGACACACATGTCGAAAAATTCTTGTCAACTGAAAATACGACATCTCATACGTCACAAGATTTAGCAAGACATGCCGTTACGTTATTATTTGTTTATTTTCGCTATAATAAAATGGATAAAGAACATCATCGGGACTCTGCAGAGGAACAATAGCCTGAAGCTCAAACAAAAGGCGAATGGGAAGAGAAGAATAACCTGAAGTGAGAAGGGATTATTTCTATTTAAGCAGCGATCCCGCATGCGACACGGCAGGACGGGTTTATGAACTTCGCCGCAGCGGCTATGACCGGTGTTTCCGCAAGAGCTAACCTTCTTGGACTTCACCTATTTACCACAACAACAGCAGCAGACTGCTCCATGAGAAGAAGGAACAACAAGGAAACGAGCCAGAAAAGAAAGAGAGTGCGGGCGCATGATACGCACAGATGCATCCATCTAAGTTCAGAGAGATGGGAACCGGGCCAGGTGATGCAGCCCCTCCTTCCCCTTCATCCCTGAACCCAATCCAATCTGCGATTTAAAAACCCAAATTGGCTCCTAGGTAAAAATCCCGTTCCTGAGGGCCCTATCACACACACACGACATGAATCAAGAACCAGTAAACGCACGGAAAGGAAAGAAAACAGACGAGCTTGCATGTACAGCCGTATACAGAACGCGGGACAGAGAGGAGGGGGAGATGATGATTTTGAGGATTCATTCACCTTCCTGGCGAGCCGCGGTCGAGGGCGAGCAGAGCTGGGGCGGAGGAGTGGCGAGCGGGAGGAGTAGGGAGCTAGGACGAGACGGGTGTGGTGTGGAGGATGGGGGGAATTGTTGGGAGGAAGGTGTGGGCCGAGGAGAATATAATGGTGGTGGTGGGCGAGAGAGGAGGAGGACTGGAGGAGGGAGGGAGACGGAAGCAACGAGCTCAGTGGTTTTTTTTCATTTTGTTTTTTCGGATCTGACTGTTTCTGGAGAATTGGATATGCCAAATCTAACCGCGTCCTTGCCCGCCTCCTCGCGTCACAATCTCGCATTTCGTTTATTTTCTCCTTTTCCCTTTCGAAGTCGTTCGCCTTTTATTTCGCTTTGGCTTTTGCCTTTTTGCGATTTTTGTTGGCTAATCCTAGTCCTTTGAAATTTTCTTGTATGAATGACATCTGTTTTTCGTGGCCACGGTGTTGGGGAAAGGGGGCCTCAGAAAAAATACTAAGATGGCAGCAAGGGAAAATTGTTTCGATTTCGCGCAAGAATCAGTAGTGAAGCTCTCCAATAGCAATTATTTAGAGTAAAAGTGAACACGCTTGGGAACTATTCACAATTTGAGTTCAAATACTGTTTTCTATTTATTTTTCGCTGAGAAACACCGGGTATAAAATTTAGACATATGTTTTTTTTGCGGGGTCAAAATTTAGACATATACATATACACAAATATTGGTTGAGGTTAGTATCTTTTTATTCAAGCTATTCAAGTCCAGATTGCATTCTACTCCCTTTGTTCATAAATATAAGATGTTTTAAATGTTTAAATATGGATTACATATGTTGAAACGAGTGAACAAACACACTAAAACATGTTTGTATATATTTGATTAAAAAAGTTAGAACATTTTATATTTACTAGTAAATGCGTATGCGCAATGCACGTTAGGTATTAGGTAATATATTAATTGCACGTAAATATTAGGTAGGATATTATTTGAGTATTAATTATGTGATTAGCATTGACATTAATATTTGGTATGATATTAACTGCACACTAAACATGTTGAGCGTTCATCATTGAAGCAGTCTGAGTCGTTGGATTGACCTGATTTGATGGCCGGGATTTGTTGGATCTACCTCTTTAGATCTTTTTATTTTGGTATAGATAAACGGACGGAGTACCACGTTAAAATACAGGTTTAATGTGTTGATTTATGAAGATTTAAATAGATCGATTTCATATCAAGATTTTTTTTAAAGTGATATATTTAGCTATTTGATATACTAGCAGTAGCTGTCTTCAAGGCTCATTTTACCAAGATGTAGTTTTATAACGATATTGTACAACAGCAATGATTTATAAAATACTTTGAAGTGCATTTTCTTCAATCTATGGCCTAAATTTATATTTCACACAACTATGAACTAGGCAAAAATTTCTATGTTTTTAATGTTTGTGGATGCAGGTGCGGGAACCTTCACGAACTAAGAAAAAACTACGAAAATTCATATGAAAATTTTTCATTGATGCATGAGACCTACCAAAAATAGGACTACAGGCGCATTGTGGCACCTCGATTCAGAGCAACCGGTTTACCTTGGATTGCCAGCCCAGAGAACTGGCAACAGACAACAACTTGGTACAGAAAACAACCGCTTTATTGATCTTTTGTGGATACATAAGTTCAGATATTACACAACAGTTAAGGCCAAGCGGCACACACGGTGCGGCTGCACTTATGTACGTATATAAAAGACATCTCTCGGACCTCGACGATAAGGAAAACTCCTACTCGAGAGCGAAACGATGAAGTAGTGGGACTCCACTCCACAAGGACACTCCTGGGACACGGCCTAGATCACGACGAACCGAACGACATCAACTCTTGGTACGGCTTCTCCTGCATCTGGCATGACACGCCAGGTGAATACTTTGAATGTACTTGTAAGCTCACATCAAACAAAGCAAATACGACAAACAATAACAGGGCATTTAACAAGTATAATGCATGAGCATGAACATGGTACTATCTATCATGAAGTGTACGTGGATCATGATCACGGTTCCTTGGACCAACTTACCATCTCTGGTTACCTCGTAACTGTTGGAAATATGCCCTAGAGGCAATAATAAATTGATTATTATTATATTTCCTTGTTCATGATAATCGTTTATTATCCATGCTAGAATTGTATTGATAGGAAACTCAGATACATGTGTGGATACATAGACAACACCATGTCCCTAGTAAGCCTCTAGTTGACTAGCTCGTTAATCAATAGATGGTTACGGTTTCCTGACCATGGACATTGGATGTCGTTGATAACGGGATCACATCATTAGGAGAATGATGTGATGGACAAGACCCAATCCTAAGCCTAGCACAAGATCATGTAGTTCGTATGCTAAAGCTTTTCTAATGTCAAGTATCATTTCCTTAGACCATGAGATTGTGCAACTCCCGGATACCGTAGGAGTGCTTTGGGTGTGCCAAACGTCACAACGTAACTGGGTGGCTATAAAGGTACACTACGGGTATCTCTGAAAGTGTCTGTTGGGTTGGCACGAATCGAGATTGGGATTTGTCACTCCGTGTAAACGGAGAGGTATCTCTGGGCCCACTCGGTAGGACATCATCATGATGTGCACAATGTGACCAAGGGGTTGATCACGGGATGATGTGTTACGGAACGAGTAAAGAGACTTGCCGGTAACGAGATTGAACAAGGTATCGGTATACCAACGATCGAATCTCGGGCAAGTACCATACCGCTAGACAAAGGGAATTGTATACGGGATCGATTGAGTCCTTGACATCGTGGTTCATCCGATGAGATCATCGTGGAACATGTGGGAGCCAACATGGGTATCCAGATCCCGCTGTTGGTTATTGACCGGAGAACATCTCGGTCATGTCTGCATGTCTCCCGAACCCGTAGGGTCTACACACTTAAGGTTCGATGACGCTAGGGTTATAAAGGAAGCTTGTATGTGGTTACCGAATGTTGTTCGGAGTCCTAGATGAGATCCCGGACGTCACGAGGAGTTCCGGAATGGTCCGGAGGTAAAGATTTATATATAGGAAGTCCTGTTTCGGCCATCGAGACAAGTTTCGGGGTCATCGGTATTGTACCGGGACCACCGGAAGGGTCCTGGGGGCCCACCGGGTGGGGCAACCTGCCCCGGGGGGCCACATGGGCTGTAGGGGGTGCGCCTTGGCCTACATGGGCCAAGGGCACCAGCCCCAAGAGGCCCATGCGCCTAGGGAACCCTAGAGGGAAGAGTCCTCAAGGGGGAAGGCACCTCCGAGGTGCCTTGGGGAGGATGGACTCCTCCCCCCCCTCTTGGCCGCACCCCTTCCTTGGAGGAAGGGGCAAGGCTGCGCCTCCCCCCTCTCCCTTGCCCCTATATATAGTGGAGGGGAGGGAGGGCATCCATACCTGAGCCCTTGGCGCCTCCCTCCCTCCCGTGACACCTCCTCCTCTCCCGTAGGTGCTTGGCGAAGCCCTGCAGGATTGCCACGCTCCTCCATCACCACCACGCCGTTGTGCTGCTGCTGGATGGAGTCTTCCTCAACCTCTCCCTCTCTCCTTGCTAGATCAAGGCGTGGGAGACAT